ATAACATCAACCTGCTATTCTAGGCTAGGCAATCTTGTCAGTCAGCAGATTCTGTCCGAACCCACTCTTCCGTTGCCCTTGATTTTCTTGATAGAACAGAGTCAGGAGGTATTATACGAGATAGATAGACAGACAGACAGACAGACAGACAGAACACAGGAGGTATTATGATAGATAGATAGATAGATAGATAGTTAGATAGATAGATAGATAGATAGATAGATAGATAGATAGATAGATAGATAGATGGTAGATAGATAGATAGATAGATAGATAGATAGATAGATAGATAGATAGATAGATAGAACGAACGAACACAGGAGGTATTATGATAGATGATGATGATGATGATGATGAAGATAGATAGACAGATAGATGATAGATAGATAGATAGATAGATAGATAGATAGATAGATAGATAGAACGAACACAGGAGGTATTATGATAGATAGACAGACAGACAGACAGACAGACAGACAGTAGTGATCAGTTTGCCATACCAGTGAAACAGATTCCAGAATAACAGAACCATCAGCTGATATGGCGAGGTCTGTTCTACGTGTCAGGAAAGAAGAAGAGGAGATGGATTTATACCCCTTCACTACCCAAGGGAGTCTAAGAGCGGCTTACCAACTCCTCTCCCTTCCTCTCCCCACAACAGACACCCTGTGAGGTAGGTGGGGCTGAGAGAGCTCTGACAGAAACTGCTCTTTTTCAGGAACAGCTGTGCCAGAACTATGGCTTGCCCAAGGGTCATCCAGCAGATGCAAGTGGAGGAGTGGGGAAATCAAACCCGGTTCCCCCAGATTAGAGTCCGCGCACTTAACCACTACCCCAAACTGGCTCTCTTACTTGATTTCTACTGGCACTGGACTAGACACTGCAGCCTTACCCAAAAGTAAATCTGAGTTGAATATGATTTATTCTCAAGTAAGTGTACATAGGACTGCAGCACAAGCTTATAAAATTTCAGTGCACCAACTCTTATGTGCAATTATTATAAGAGTGACCCTGAAGAAATAGCCACCCTGAGCCTGCTTTGAGGGGAGGACAGGGTATAAATCAAATCAATCAATCATTCAACTGCAAACCCAAGGGTTTCCACAACGCCTACACATCTGGATAATTTGCTGCATTCCTGACCGGCCATTAGAAGCCAGCAACCGAGGCCCCTTTCCCTCTCTGCTTAGTTGCAGACTGCTGTCCAATGCGAGTCTCAAAGTTCATCTTGAGAGATTTCCCACTTAGCACCAGAAACTGCTTCTAGGTCTAGACAGAAACTGTAGTACTCTTTAATCTCCCTCTCTTACCTCCAAATACTCTCAATTCTAGGTTGGGGAGAACAGACTCTTTTGGAAGGGAAAGAAAAACACACCAGTATCTGGAAGAACCACTAACACCTACTTCCACCGTATCGCTGCCAACTTTCAATAACATTGTATGCCCAATGGTGCTAAATGCTTCCATCATTTAGGTAGCTTGGGTAACACCCCTCCCCTTCATCTGCTCTAACCTTCTACAGGTGTTTGCTGTTTCCCCAGCTGAAACAAGCTCTTTTAGCCAACCAGTCCCTTTTTTTCCCCCTTTAAAAACAAGAAGCCCATCATACATGTGATCACAGTTATACTTTAGGCAGGGCCTAAGGTCATCTTTAGTTGAGGGATTTAAATATATCAGCCTTTCTTCTTGCCCACAAATATGCTAAATTGCCAGTCTGTCTGCTCCTATCAATGTTCATCATATGTGGTCTAGAAAGGGAGGGGGGAGGAATGCATTCATTTACAATTTCTATCCACTTCCCTACTTTGTCATGTGAGAACAATATAGGTAACCAAGCAAGGTATTGTTTTTCAGCCTGAAATGCAAAGCTGGATTTGGAGTTAAGGCTGCAGTCCTGTGCACACTTACCTGGAGGTAAAACCAACTGGACACAGAATAAATATTACAAGTGTCATAGTTGATGCCCTATTACCTCATTAACTTTGACTCCCCATTCCAGTGCAGGGTCTTTATGCTGGCCCGTTTAAACGCTTTCCCTTCCAAGGTTTTTTCAGGCAGATTTAAGCAAACTCCTTTCCAGAACAAGCTTTGTCCTTGTGAGCTGAGAATACCAGATTCCTTACCCCATATTATTCTAGAATGTCCTGTCTTTACTTCTCAGTGTAGACAGTTTTTGTTAAACCATCTTCAACAAAATGATCATTACAATAAACAACTATTGACTTGGCTCTTAGAAGAAGAAGAGATTGGATTTATACCCCGCCCTTCACTACCCAAAGGAGTCTCAGAGCGGCTTACAAACTCCTTTCCCTTCCCTTCCCCACAACAGACACCCTGTGAGGTAGGTGGGGCTGAGAGAGCTCTTGACAGAAACTGCTCTTTTTCAAGAACAGCTCTTATCAGAACTACGGCTTGCCCAAGGTCATCCAGCCAGGTGCAAGTGGAGGAGTGGGGAATCAAACCCGGTTCTCCCAGATTAGAGTCCGCACACTTAACCACTACACCAAACTGGCTCTCTTAGAAGATGTTAATCCCCAAACCACCTTTTGTGTTGCCGGACTATTGGTCGAGATTTTTAAGACTAAGCTCAACCTAACCTAATTACTCATTGTTCCTTTATTCCCTCCTTGTTATTTCCCTATTTCTATTAATCCATTAATTATAACATTTTATTCTTCCAGCAGGACACTTGATTCATTCTGGTTGTCAATGTGTAATCGACTTTTACATTTCTGACTGTTTTATTATAGCAATATTTTACTGGAGCATTGTGTTTACTTTTGATGTAGTTACTTATATTGCCATGCCATTTAAAGGTATTTGATTGATTGATTGATTGACAAGCATCACAATATTCACAGGGCATAACGGTATTCCATTTTTCATATATTTCACGTGTTTATATATACAGCCATGATCTACAGATAGCTAACAGCTATATACCTCAGATCCCTTTCTTGACCCAATACTTTGGGCCAGTCACACACTCTCAGCCTAGCCTACTTTACAGGGTTGTTCTGGGGATAAAATGAAAGAGAGGAGAACAGCGTAAGCTGCTTTGGGTCCCCATTGAGGAGAAAGGTAAGGAATCAATAAATAAATATATAAAAGTAAATAGATGCCTATACTGAAAAAAGAGCCTTAAAAGTTTAAACAGAAGTGGTTCACGCTATACTTGGTGGCTTGGGCCCGAGCTGTGACACTGGGCACACTTACCAGGAAGTAAACCCCACTAAATTCAGAAGGACTTATTTCAGGTATACATGTATAGGGCAGTGTTCCCTCTAAGCTGAGTTAGTGTGAGCTAGCTCACAGTTTTTTAGCCTCCAGCTCATACATTTTTTGTCTTAGCTCAGGAAGGAGGGCTCCAGATCAGACTAATTTCTGCGGCAGCCGAATCGCTCGCTCACCACTTTAATGCCAGTAGCTCTCAAAGTAGGATTTTTGCTCACAAGACTCCACAGCTTAGAGGGAGCATTGGTATAGGGTGGTTGCATAGGGTGGGTTGCCAATGGGCCTGGAGAGAGCTGTCCTGTCCCTTTAATGGAGCCTCATCTGTAGATATGGACAGTTTCCCTGCATGGGAATAAATAACATCACCTGGTAGATTACAGGATCTTAAGCCTCTGTTAAAGGGACAAGTCATTTTTGTCCAGGCCTGTTGGCAACCCTGTTACTGCGTTTCTTCCAGGATGCCTGGTCTATGCCCAGTGCGTTGCCACCTTCTTTTGAGAACCCTTTTCATGCTGTACCTTTCTTCCCACTCAGCAGGGACTGCCTGCTGGGCTTCTCTCCACTGGCATATTTGTTCTCCTTCTTGCGCTCCTTCTGCGGCCCATCTCTGCTTGCGCTGCTCGAGTTTCTGTGACCAGTCGCTGAAGCCTTCATCCTCTTCTAATTCGGAAGTCCCAGAAGGCTTGCCATCAAACCTGAGGTACGAGGCAGGGAAAATAAGCACCATGTAAGTTCAGAATAAAACAGTGAGCATTCTGGTCGGCGTGCCTGGATCTACAGTTATTGCCAAAAGGGTGAGAAGAAAGTCTAACGAAGGGGCCAATATTAAAAACCTAGTTAAAACTTATAATATACAAAGATACAAGTATTTATTAGAAAGGCAGTTAAAAACATACATATGGGCCCAATGAAAGTTTCGCAAAAAAGTATAGCCTAAACCAGGGGTTATTTCCTGCAGGAGTGCACAGGAGCAGAGCTCCGGCAGTAAAGAGCCCAGGGGGAGGGCACATGCAACAAGCCCCACCCCCTGCTCCCAGCAGCCCTCGGTCAGAGCAAGAAGCAGCCAAGTAATTTGCAGAGACCCCCCCTCCCAGCTTCCCGGTCCAAAACAGTCCAGTGGCACCTTTAAGATCAAGTTTTATTCAGGTACAAGCTCTCCCTCCTCTGTGAGGACAGATCTGCACGTTTCCCCCCCTCCAATAGCTAGCAATCCAAAAGAGTCCAGTGGAGCCTGAGCAGTGGGTGTTGCCTTCTGACACACTTCCAGTGATGTCAGGGGGTGTGGCAAATGCAAATAAGTTATGCTAATGAGTTATGCTAATGAGCTCCTGCACCTCTTTTTCTACGAAATGACCCCTGGCCTAAACACAAGGGCCAATACACATGACCTGACGCGTTTCTGCCCTATTGGGGCCTTCTTCAGAGGTCAAACAATATTGAGGTACACATAACTTAAATACATATTTCAATAAGATAGCCAATAAGTGAATATTAGACCAGGAAGAGGAAGGTTAAGCAGCAGGATCTAGAGACCCATGACAAAGATATTTGTGAGGCCTCAGAAGGTGAAAGTCGTGTGTCTGGTGCCAAATGCACAGTTGCTGAATTAGAACATCTCCCAATTTAGGTCCAAAAACACATATGTGGCTATCAAAGTCAGAGCTAGAGTGTCCTCAAGCAAGGCTTTCATTAATCCCTTATGTATGTTTTTAACTGTCTTTCTAATAAATACTTGTATTTAGTTAACTTCATTTGACTTTCTTCTCACCCTTGTGGTCTATGACATTATACCCTGCTGAGATCCCTTCCTTTAGCAAAAATTTACCTTGGGAGCAAACATGTCTTTCATACACCAGCAACAGTCAGGCTCAAATCCAGTACATATAAGGAGAAGGCAACCGTGTCCTGCTCATTTCAGTCCCATCATTACTGCAGTCAGATTATTCATACTGAAGAAGTGTTACGATTTGGGTTGGATCGTGACTACTTAATATCTGAATGAACACCCCCTAAGTGCTTACGTTGCCAGAGTTTATGGATTAATACTTAAAGACTGTGCAGTTTTGAGACTGAACCCAAGGTGATCTATGGCCCCTGCCACACGGCAGGGGAAAACTCGCTCAAAGCGAGTTCTAAAAGCCGCACCAAAGTTGAGACGCCGCGGTGGGATCCCACGGATCCCCTGAGCCGCGGCGCCTTTTCTCCCCGGCACGATCAGATGCCGGGGAGAAAGCTATGGTGGCAAGGGGAGGCTGGCGAACTGCGCATGCTCACACATGCGCAGTTCGGCCAGGGGCCGGGGATGCGCCGGCGCAAGGACGCGCCGGCGATCCCACGGCCAGGCTTGGGGCGCACGTTTCGGACAAACCACCAAGGTAGGTGGTTCTGTTTTGGTGCGGGGTTTTGGGTGGAAGGGGCGGATCGGGGACGCAAGCAGCACGATTCCCAGATGTTGCTGTGGGATTGTGCACGTTTGCTGCGTCCCCGTTCTGTCCCTCTACCGGCCCAAAACCTCTCGTGTGACCGGGGCCTATGTGTTGTGGGGCAAAGATACACATGACTTCAGTTCCTGAATCATTCTCATTGCCAAAACCACTCTGGAGCAAAAGGGCAGTCCAGTCCTTTAAATTGTGCTCGACTGCTGCAGCGGGAGATGGTCTTTCGTTAAAGCAGTGGTGCCCAAGGCAGTGAAAGGAATCCCGAGCCCAGAAAATCATGAAAGACACCCCAAAGCAAACCCACCCACCACCCACCCCCGCATCTTAATTTAATGGACTGATCTGCCCTTTGGTTAACTGTGGTCAAGAGACTTGTACATTTTGGGATTAAATTCCAGCCACTGTATTTCATCATAGCTTTGGAATGCAGTCTGCGTACTCTGGAGGTCGAATGACCGACTCTTGCCATTTGGGTATAAATGCTTCTCTCTTTCTTTATTAATGAATAGGAAGAGCAGTCTCCTCCTCTGCCCCGCCTTTCTGTACCTTTCAGAGCCTAGGAAATATCTGAAGTTCAGCCTGGTTTCCCCCCTTGCCCTATCACACAGGGCCCTTTAATTATTTCAAACTGAATCCTGGATGTGAAGTGCTCAACACTTACTAATGGGTGGGGCACTTAGAAATTCTCCTGCCGGCAAAGGATCGCTTTTACAATATTATTTGAGCGAATGTCAAGCACAGTATTCCGTTTCATACTTATTACTGCATTGTGGCCAGGGGTCATTTCGTAGAAAAAGAGCGAGGGGAACTCATTAGCATAACTCATTAGCATATGCCACACCCCCTTACATCACCGGAAGTGTGTCATAAGGCCACACCCCCTGACATCACCGGAAGTGTGTCATAAGGCCACACACCCCGCCCCCAACGGTCCCAGCCGCCGTCGGCCTTGCAGCTCCACTGCCAAGCCCTATGAGGGGCCCGGCGGTGGACCTGCAAGGCCGGCGAAACTGAGAGGAAGCCCCGCGAAGGCCCTCCCTGACCCCAGGCAGGCAGGGGTGGGGAGAGGCAGGGAGGAAGCAACTTACCCTCCCTCTTCTCCTGCCTCCTCCTGGCTGAATGAGGGCCGGAAGCGGGGTGGTCGGAAGCAGGGGGTGGGGCTTCGTCATGTGCCCCCCCCATACCTCACCCGGGGGAACTGCGATCCCCCGCGATCCCCCCCGAAATGACCTCTGATTGTGGCCATATTCTCACTCTGAAGCCAACAGAAAATCCTCCTCATGTTTTTCTGCCACTCGACTCAGATTTAGTCAGTTTGCTGATAACCCCTGTTGTATTCGCTGACCTACTGCCGCCTCACTGTCACTCCAGCACCTCTCTGTTTCCTTAAAAATAGGAGGAGCCGAAGATTAGCACACAGGAGATACACCTGTTAAGGGCACTGTCTATCCAGAAGAGTTAGCCAAGATGTCTGCCAAACATGATCATATACCTGTTTCCAGGGATCATTTCGTAGAAAAAGAGGTGCACGAGCTCATTAGTGTAACTCATTAGCATAACTTATTTGCATATCACCGGCATAACTTATTTGCATAACTGACATCACCGGAGGTGTGTCAGAAGGCAACACCCACCACTCAGGCTCCAGTGGACTGTTTTGGATTGCTAGTTATTGGGGGGGGGGAACGTGCAGATCTGTCCTCACAGAGGAGGGAGAGCTTGTACCTAAATAAACCTTGGTCTTAAAGGTGCAACTGGACTGATTTGGGCCGGGGGGAGCTCTGCAACTTACCTGGCTGCTTCTTGCTCTGACTGAGGGCTGCTGGGAGCAGGGAGTGGGGCTTGTTGCATGTGCCCGCCCCCTGGGCTCTTTATTGCCGGAGCTCCGCTCCTGTGTGCTCCTGCAGGAAATGATCCCTGCCTGTTTCTGTGTTCAGCATTTCCTCTTCCCACTTCCCACTGTTAGGATCCTCAATGGCTTTGGGATGGTTCTCTCAAAGTATTCAAGAACAGGTTCTGTATTTGCATGAGCTATCTCATTTTCTGGGCCTGGGCCTCCTAAGCACAGACAAAGATTTTGCTTTCACATTCTGGCAGCCGGGAAGGGCAGATTGAAGCAAAATAGAGGCAGACTACAACTTGCCAGCTCTTCTACAGACTGGAGTGGGTCAGGGGAGAATAGAAGCCCCTTTCCCAGGAACGCACATAAATATATTAAATAAGAAGTGAGAGTCTGGCCCCGGTCACATGGAGAATTTGCCGTGCGAAAGGCACAAATGTCGGGCAGATTTTCACACCGCAACATCTGGGAAGCGTAGCACACCCGTGGCCAACCTGTGGCGTCCCGCCAAAGATGCAGAGTTAAAAAGTAACAAGGAAAGTGCACTAGTATCCAGAAAACGCGCGGCACAGGCGGGCGTCTGATCGTGGGAGCGCTAGTATCGCTTGGCATCCGGCACCTGTCCACGTCCCGTCGCAAACTGGATGGTTTTCATAAGCGCATGCGCACCAACATCAAACTGAAAGCAGTGCTGCTCCACGGAACTGCGCATGTGCACAAAACGCAAAACACTTGTGTGATCGTGCCATGCCGCTTCTTTGCCATGCTGCAGCATTGCTATGTGATCGCCAGCTAACAGCCAAAGCATGGAGATTTGGGGGACCATGTGATTGGGCTACTGCACTTTATTTTGCTCCAGGGCGAACAGCCATGCCTCCCCCCTCACGTTATCTGGCCCGTGTGACCGGGCCTAAGAAGTGAGAGACTATTACTTATGAAGGATCTGAGTTTTCTCTCAATTTTTTAAAAATTCATGTAATGTACACATATAATATCACGTATATAGTTGGTAAGAATTTTGTGATTGCGTCAATCTGAATGCCCGTGTGAGTGGCGATGTCCAGTCTTGAGTCATCACGCCTCGAAACATGGAGGGATGTTCACTATGTTCGGTGGGGATCTAATGCTCTAGAATAAAGGATGTCTGACAAACTTCATCTGGACCTTGTTGTTGTTCAGTCGCACAGTCGAGTCCGACTCTTCATGACCCCATGGACCAGATCACGCCAGGCCTCTGGACCTACAGGACCAGATCACACCAGGCATCTGGACCTACAGGAAAGTTATGACAGCTGTTCATTGAAGGTAACTTCATTAAACCCTTTATTTCACTGGAATGATTGGATATTTGTACTGATGCAGCTAGCAAGATGAGGACGAGTCACCATAAGGGGGAGCTGAGTTTACATAAGAAAGAGCCAGCGCTCATGGAAGATTTAAGGGTGTGCTAACCTTTGTAGCCAGATCAGCAGCTGCAGACAATGCCAAGAAAAGACTGGGGACCTACCCCCCATGACAAAAAAAATCAAGAACTTTTCTAAAACAACTCTGTGTATAATGATATTCACGATCCTTTGCATTTGTATCTACTGCATTAAACAAAACTGCTATCGAAATCCTTCTCAGATAATATCGGTGATAGAATGAACACAAGTAGTCATGCTGGCAGAATTGGCCTCCAGGCTACAAAGAAGAAGAAGAAGAGGAAGAAGAAGAGGAAGAGGAAGAGGAAGAAGAGGAGTAGTAGTAGTAGTAGGAGGAGGAGGAGGAGGAGGAGATTGGATTTATACCCCGCCCTTCACTACCCAAAGGTGTCTCAGAGCGGCTTACAAACTCCTTTCCCTTCCCCTCCCCACAACAGACACCCTGTGAGGTAGGTGGGGTTGAGAGAGCTCTGACAGAAACGGCTTTTTCAAGGACAGCTCTTATCAGAACGACGGCTTGCCCAAGGTCATCCAGCCAGGTGCAAGTGGAGGAGTGGGGAATCAAACCCGGTTCTCCCAGATTAGAATCCGCGCACCTAACCACTACACCAAACTGGTAGATTTGAAGGTAGATTGAAAGAAGGGGTAGGGTCTCGATATGAACAGCAATCAGGGCATGCAGGGAAAGGGCCCTGAACCCTTCTTCTGCCGCAGCTTCTTCCCATGGCCTTCCTCCCAAGTGCGTCACCTCAGCTGAGGCTACTTATGGTACCACAAAAGCATGTTTGGGTAGAAGTTGCAGAGAGGTGAGTTGGGGAAAAGATGAGCACTTTTTACTCAGCACGTGCAGGCCTTCTGCTGTCAGAAACGGACTCCTCAGCACTCTTGTACCACAACTGGTACACTTCTGTCTTTAACCCAAGAAACTGCCATAATCTCATCAAGCTTTGTCTTCATCCCAGTCCTGCTTGCTGGAAGGTACAGTATTTTAAAACATTCAACAAAGGAAAACATGAACATAGCGGGAAGAGAGCTGTAAACTCGAATCCTCACGCCTCTTTGACTGTTAATCAGCCAGTTGCAGGGATGCTGTGGGGTGTCTAACTAAAGACTTCAATTCCCAGGGACTACTGCTCTTAAAGATATATGGCAGTTCTACTTAACTACAGTTAAATGCTGGCTGGGGCAGCACAGGCCCCAGTCACACGTGCTGGAAAACGCGGGGGGGAGGCGTGGCTATTTGCAACGGCACAATTAGCCCTGCGATAACGTAATCAGACATGTCGGAAGCAACCCACGGTTCTGGCCCTCAGCATGTGTGCTGCAACGAAGATGGCCGTAGGGAAAAGCCGCGCCGGCACGATCACACCAAGGGAGTCCGGAGGCAGCCCATGGCAAACCGTTTACTAGTACCTTCGAGGAGGGGTTTTTTTATCGCACATTTTCGGCGGCATGCCACGGGTTGGCCACGGGTGTGCTCCACTTGCCAGATGTTGTGGCGTGGTCGTGCCCAGAAAATCCGCCATCCGATCGTGGCTCTCCCGCGGCAAATTTGCCGTGTGAACGGGGCCATTCAAGAATTAATCTGCTCTTCAAAAAGACTTAACCAGAACCTCCTGCTCACGGCAAGCTATTAAACCATTACATCTGGAGAACTACAGAAAACATTTATTTATTTTTATTTATTTTATTTCATTTATACCCCGCCCTCCCCGCACGCGCATTACATATCTGTTTAAGATACCTCATATCAGGTTTTGCTTAAGACTTTTGGTTTCAGAGACACAGATCACAAAACATGGATGGTGGCCTGCAGTCACCTTGGTGGGTTACAAAATGTGCATGGCATGGTGGGATAAAAGTGCAGAATAGCTGACCACATGTATCCTCCCCATTGGATGGAGAATCTCACGCAATCACCAGGGGTTGCCCATTACTTCCTTCAGTGCCACATAAATTCTCTTGGGGATGGAAGTGATCCAACTGGCACATGGTCCCACACAATTTAGCCCCAGTTTGGAACAAGCAGCCTCATGGAAGCTAGTTCATTCATCCTGTACACTGCTAACATAATGTGCAGATGGATGTTTTGATTACAGTTGTCTTGTTTTACTGTCTAAGAATGCTGTAAACGAATACAGGCCCCGGTCACACGGAGAATTTGCCACGCGAAAGGCACGAATGCTGGGCGGATTTTCGGGGCGCGATCACACCACAACATCTGGGAAGCATAGCGTACCCGTTGCCAACCCGTGGCCAACCCATGGCGTGCCGCCGAAGATGCGCAGTTAAAAAGTACCTGCAAAGATCTACTGGCGAATGGTTCGCCGCGGGCTGCAGACGGACTCGTTCAGTGTGATCGCGCCGGTGCGCGCCTCTTCTTCCCAGCCATCCTCTTTGCAGTGCGCGCCGAAGGACGAAACCCCGATGCGCCGCCATCGCGTCTGATTGCATAATGGAGGATCAGAATGCGATGGCACAAATCGCCACGCCTCCCCCCGCGTTTTCCGGCACGTGTGACTGGGGCCACAATAGCTTTTTTAGTTCACTAATGTCCATCCGTATAAGAACATGATAACTTTTGAGTGATACTGAGTTATTCATCAGGTGTGCAACGTGATTTTTGAGAGTGGTCTAGAACAAACAGATGTATAGTTTTGTGCTCAGTCTCTACTTACTGACTTTCTTGTACTGTCTCTCCATTTCCCAAAGATGTGCCAGTGCCTTCTTCTGCCTGGGATCTCAGTTGCCTCTCGCGTTCCCTCCGGCGCCTCTCTCTAGCTGCCTCCTCCTCATCTTCCACACTCCACTGTGCTGTCAGCCTGACAACCACAAAGAAAATTTAGTCATGCTGGGTGAAGGTGTGATTAAAAGAAGAAGAAAAAGATGGTATTTATACCCCGCCCTTCACTTGGAGTCTCAGAGCGGCTTACAAACTCCTTTCCCTTCCCCTCCCCACAACAGACACCCTGGGAGGTAGAAGAAGAATAAGAAGAGATTGGATTTATACCCCGCCCTTCACTACCCAAGGGAGTCTCAGAGCGGCTTACAAACTCCTTTCCCTTCCCCTCTCCACAACAGACACCCTGTGAGGTAGAAGAAGAAAAGGAGATTGGATTTATCCCCCGCCCTTCACTACCCAAAGGTGTCTCAGAGTGGATTACAAACTCCTTTCCCTCCCCCTCCCCACAACAGACATCCTGTGAGGTGGGTGGGGCTGAGAGAGCTCTTGACAGGAACTGTTCTTTTTCAAGAACAGCTCTTATCAGAACTACGGCTTGCCCAAGGTCACATCAGAAGTGCAAGTGGAGGAGTGGGGAATCAAACCCGGGTCTCCCAGATTAGAGTCCGCCCACTTAACCACTACGCCAAACTAAAAGAAAATAGTCTTAAACCTAAAGAACATGTAGGCCCTGCTACAGTCAGGAAGTGGTTGCATTCATCACTTAATTTAATCTTCATTCATTTAGAAATTTATTATTTAGAAATATATATAAGCGGCCTCTCCAGAGACATGCTTGAGGCTGCTCACAATGTAAAACAATTCATAGGAACAATGTGCAAACCCATTTCTAAACAGTATGTAGAAGTAATTCACAAGAGCTAAGACTGACGAACCTAAACAGCATGATAAAAAGTAGAGACATCACCCTGCCAACAAAAGTCCGCATGGTCAAAGCAATGGTATTCCCAGTAGCCATGTATGGCTGCATGAGTCGGACTATAAGGAAGGCCGAGCGTCAAAGAATAGATTCTTCTGAATTATGGTGCTGGAGAAGACTCTTGAGAGTCCCCTGGACTGCAAGAAGATCAAATCAGTCAATCCTAAAAGAAATCAACCCTGACTGTTCCCTGGAAGGCCAGATAATGAAACCGAAGCTCAAATACTTTGGCCACCAAATGAGAAGGGAGCACTCACTGGAGAAGACCCTGATGCTGGGAAAGATTGAAGGTCAAAGAAGACGGGGACGGCAGATGAGATGGTTAGACCGTGTCATAGATGCAACGAACATGAAATTGAGCAAACTTCAGAGGACGGTGGAAGACAGGAAGGCCTGGCATTATCTGGTCCATGGGGTCGCGAAGAGTCGGACTCGACTGTGCGACTGAACAACAACAAAAAGCCTGACTATACCAGGTGGTAACTGAAGCATACCTGCCCCACAGCACAGTGGCCTTCAAACTCTCTACCTTCACGGGAGCATTTCCCCTTCTGACTTGCCATGGCACTTTGCAGAAGACCCAGAGGGTATAGCTCCATGCACACGGTTCCATTAGGGCACTGGCCAGATTGGTTCAGCTTCACCTCCATGCATAAGATGTGTGTTCTAAAACACATTCCAATACCCTCGTCCAGCTGCCTGTTATAGCAAAAGCCATGCCGCAGACCTACAAGGTATGTTTCAAGAAAGCTTCATCACATTCTTCTCAAGGGACCCCTTGAGGATACAATCTGAAAAGCACAACTCTATGGTTTCTGGCACATGATGTATCCACGAAGAGAGAGACCTCAAGATGATAATTAGCAGCTATGTGTGGGAACCATGAATTAGTCAAGTCCCTGCAACTGGGCAAAAAATTAAAAGAAGGGAGAATGTAAGACATTGCTCCTCCCTGCGCAAAGGCGATATGAAAACCTGAAGAATCAAACAGTGAGCTATTGTGCATGTTGTTTATTGACCCTCCTGGCTCGCCAAAGTATAAGGTACTGGAACTCGGCCGCTTAGCAAGAGTCTGTTCACTTTCCAGTTGCAGCTGAGTTTGGCTCTTGCTAGCAGCCTGTTCATTTCAATGATTCCTCTTGATGTATATTTGTGGTTGCAATAAAATGATCTCTTTGTTATGTATTTTCTGTATTGCCTCCTCTTCCTGATCCTTGCTGGTGTCCATACAAGAAAACATATACAGGCCCCGGTCACACAGAGAATTTGCCGTGCGAAAAGCACAAATGTCGGGCGGATTTTCGGGGCGTAATCACACCGCAACATCTGGGAAGTGTAGCACACCCGTGTCCAACCCGTGGCATCCCGCCGAAGATGCGGAGTTAAAAAATACCAAGGAAAGTGCACTAGTATCCGGAAAACGCTCAGCACAGGCAGACGTCTGATTCATAGACACCCTGTATCCAGTAATGGCTCAGATGTGTGGGGAGTCTCAACTAAGAATGAGTATGTAGGCTTCAGATGACGGGTAAAGAAATACACGGAGATTTTGCCGCATGAAAGGCACAAATGTCGGGCGGATTTTCAGGGCGCGATCACACTCCAACATCTGGGAAGCATAGCGCACCCATGGCCAACCCGTGGCATCCCGCCGAAGATGCGGAGTTAAAAAGTACCAGGGAAAGTGCACTAGTATCCAGAAAACGTGCAGCGTAGGCGGGCATCTGATCGCGGGAGCGCTAGTATCCCATGGCATCAGGCGCCCGTCCACGTCCCGTCGCAAACCAGATGTTTTTCATAAGCGCATGCGCACAAACACAAAACTGAAAGCAGTGCTGCTCCACAGAACTGCGCATGCGAACAAACGCGAAACACTTGTGTGAACGCACCACGCCGCTTCTTTGCCACGCTGCAGCATCGCCGTGTGATCGCCAGCTAACAGCCGAAGCACGGAGACTCGGGGGACCGTGTGATAGGGCTACCGCGCTTTATTTTGCTCTGGGGCGAACAGCCACACCTCCCCCCCCGCGCTATCTGGCCCGTGTGACCGAGGCCACAGAACATGGGAAACCCTGCAGACTGTGGTACCACAGATTAGCAAATTGTGTGAAAAATGCTTGGTGGAGACATGGCCTATGTACAGCCCTGGACTGTATGAACATAGTGCCGTAGGTAAGCACTATGGCTGTTAATGCTATGCCTTACAGCAAGAGCAAAGAAAGTTAAATAAATAAAGGGAAATAAAAGAATGCTATAAAAATATACAGTCTGACTCTGAGAGGCTAAGAAATCAGACAAGAATCCTGGACCTCCCCCATTCAATCTCTGGGACTGAGAATATTGAGAGTGAAAAGATCTTGACATGTTATCGTAGAAACATTATATTTGCATCAGAATTCCTGAGCCAAGCTGTGCTGTTGCTACCGGCCAGCAGAGAATGTCAGAGGAGGGTACTAAGCACTATCATGCTACAGACATTCCCAGCCGTTTCTGCTTCACGCTGTTTTCCTTCCTCCCCCAACACACTAAAATCTTGATGCGGCTTTCCCCAGAACGTCCTGGCCACCCGATAATAAATTCTCTGTCACCGCTCAGATCCCAGAGGGAAGGACAGGATTGCTGTAACATTCCAATCTTGGGGGTAACATGAATTTCAGGGCCCAGTCCAGATCTTTCTACAAACTTGTGAAACGCCCCTGGTTTGCAGAGACATCAGAAACCTAAACAAATCAACAAAAAACCTGCTCTCTCATTGACCAGTCGTACACTCTCAGCCTAACCTACATCACAGGTTTGTTGTGAGGATAAAATGGAGGAGCGAATGATATAAATTGCTCTGTGTCCCCATATTGGAGAGAGACAGAATATAAATTAAGTAAATTAAAAAAATAGCTGAAGATGGGGGCGGAGATAGAAGGTGGCTGGCTGGCTGGCTGGCTGGCTGGCTGGCTGGCTGGCTGGCTGGCTGGCTGGCTGGCTGGCTGGCTGGCTGGCTGGCTGGCTGGCTGGCTGGCTGGCTGGCTGGCTGGCTGGCTGGCTGGCTGGCTGGCTGGCTGGCTGGCTGGAAAAAAGAAAGAGGGGCCCCCCCCCCGAATGTCCAGGTATTTCTCAAACCCAGAGCTGCATATGGCAACCCTAACTTTTGCTTTTATAGGTATGTGTTTATGATATATGCAAACGATACACAGATCTTGGGAATATATGCAGTGAGCTGTTAGCCCACGCCTTAATGTATGGTGTGATTCATATTTGCAGTGTGCCGCTTTAAGGGCCTGTGGCATGTGGAAGTAACCTGAAGTCGGTATATGATGACTGGCAGGGCTATTTTTGGGCAGGAACGCACAGGAACGGAGTTCTGGCTGGCTTCAGAGGTGGCCACGCCCACTACAGCCAAAACCTCTGCGTGCCTGGCTACAGAGGGAAGGCCTGGAGAGCGACCCCCCCCTCGGCGACTCCAAGGCGGGGGGCGGGGGGGTTGGAAGGATCAGGGAGGCATTTAAATGTCTCCCCCGGACTGTCCAAGGGCCGGCTTGCCTGGGCAAGCCAAGGGAAGACATGGGGGTGTGGCCAAATATGCTAATGTGCTGCATCAGAGGCATGGCCTAATATGCTAATGAGTTTCTGCTGTTGGGTGGGGCCTATTATGCTAATGAGTTCCTGCTGGGCTTTTTCTACAAAAAAGCCCCCCTGATTACTGGTATAAAACAACTCTTCTGTACCAGCGGTCGGAAGGCATTAGAACTGTGGAAAATGGCTGCCTATAATTTGGCCTCGGATTTCTGAATGCCCCCTGTAAATTCTAGGGAAAGCAAAGTGTCTAAATGAACAACCGCGGGTCTGGTCACACGGTCGTTTAGTGCGGGATTCGCTGCTGATCCCTCCCGCATTAAAGGTTCCTGTCTACATAGGCAAACCCGCCTCCCGCACAGAAGGCGGCAGAGTCCCGCGGTTTCCGCTCTTTTATCCGCGTTTTTTTGACACCCGTTGGGACAGGTGTTTTCCGATATTTAGCGCTTTGTATCCACGGTTTTGGTATCTGGACAGCAATCCGCCGTGACCGCGCTACCCTTAAAACGAAACACGCTAACGAAGGAGTAAGCCCCACTGAGCTGACTGTATTCCACTGCACTCTGTCGGCTGCCTCGCAAGCAAGCGGCTCT